GAATGTATAGAACCCGTTCTTCATTAATGTTTTTATTATACGCCCAATTGTGGGGTTGGTTCTAAGTATGTGCGTGTATGTGACTGAAGCTCGTGTGTGTGTTCTCTATATATTATTTACCTAATGTAATGTTTGTGATCCTGGCATAATAGTAGTAGCTCAATGGAATAGATTTTTGTGTTATCAGGTGCTTCCGTTCAGGCCCCATATGTTACATATTTCAATTTTTATGTCTGTTTCTGACGTGGTCATGCCCAAACTTTTAGGGGCGGGTTTGGGTTGTGACATGTTTCTTGGTGAGCAAGATCAACTCGTCAAGGAACTCCAAGGTCGGCAAGCAAGGTCAGCTCGGCGACTTGCTTCTTGGTGAGCAAGATCAGCTCGGCTAGGAAGTCCAAGGTCGGCGAGCAAGGTCCGCTCCGCGACTTGCTTCTTGGCGAGCAAGATCAGGTCGGCAAGGAACTCCAAGTGTGGAAGCAAGGTTCTCTCCGCGACTTACTTCTTGGCGAGCAAGATCAGCTCGGCAAGGAACTCCAAGGTCAATGATCAAGATCAGCTCGGCTATTTGCTTCTTGGCGAGCAAGATCAGCTCTGCTATTTGCTTCTTGGTGAGCAAGATCTGCTCGGCATGGAACTCTAAGGCAAGCAAGGTCCGCTCCGCCACTTGTTTCTTGGAGAGCAAGATTAGATCGGTAAGGAAGTCCAAGGTCGGCAAGCAAGGTCAGCTCGGCGACTTACTTCTTGGCAAGCAAGATTAGCTCGGCAAGGAACTCCAAGAGCGGGAGGAAGGTCCGCTCCGCGGCTTGCTTCTTGGGGAGCAAGATCAGCTCGGCAAGAAACTCCAAGGCGAGCAAGGTTTACTCCACCACTTGTTTCTTGGCGAGCAAGATTAGCTCGGCAAAGAACTCCAAGGTCGGCGAGCAAGGTCAGCTCGACGACTTGCTTCTGGGCGAGCAAGATCAGCTCGACTAGGAAGTCCAAGGTCGGCGAGCAAGGTCTGCTCCGCGACTTGCTTCTTGGCGAGCAAGATCAGCTCGGCAAGGAACTCCAAGAGCGGAAGCAAGGTCCGCTCCGTGACTTGCTTCTTGGCAAGCAAGATCAGCTCAGCAAGGAACTCCAAGGTCAGTGAGCAAGGTCAACTCGGCGACTTGCTTCTTGGCGAGCAAGATCAGCTCGGCAAGGAACTCCAAGGTCGACTAGCAAGGTCAGCTCGGCGACTTACTTCTTGGGGAGCAAGGTCAGCTCGGCAAGGAAGTCCAAGGTCGGCAAGCAAGGTCCGTTCCACGACTTACTTCTTGGCGAGCAAGATTAGCTCGGCAAGGAACTCCAAGAGCGGGAGCAAGGTCCGCTCCGCAACTTGCTTCTTGGCGAGTAAGATCGGCTCGGCAAGGAACTCCAAAGCGAGCAAGGTCTGCTCCGCCACTTGTTTCTTGGCAAACAAGATCAGCTTGACAAGGAACTCCAAGGTCGGCGAGAAAGGTCAGCTCGGCGACTTACTTCTTGGCAAGCAAGATCAGCTCGGCAAGGAAGTCCAAAGTCGGTGAGCAAAGTCCGATCCGCGGCTTACTTCTTGGCGAGCAAGATCAACTTGACAAGGAATTATAAAGTTGATTAAAACCATCAACAAACCTCTTGCTGAGTAAAATCCATCTGACAAGGAATTCCAAAGTTGATAAAATCTTTAACAAACCTCTTGCCGAGCAAAATCCACCCGACAAGGAATTCTAAAGTTGATAAAATCATTAACCAACCTCTTGCCGAGCAAAATCTGCCCGGCAAGGAATTTTGATCTTTCCGTTAAAATGATCGTTCGTTGCCCCTTGGTCTGCACTAAATACGTTTGGTGAGGCAAATATACAACAATTTTCAAGAAAATGTTTTACTTGTTTCATTGCGCCAATGGCAAAAAGGGGTTACAAAAATAAAACTAAGAACAAAACTTTAGGCTGGCAGAGTTCGATGTTTTGGAAATGGATCGGCCATTTACATTCTGTGAGTTTTATGCCCCTTTTCCTCAACCTTCTTACTGACGTCTTCCAAAAACTGAACTCCTTATATCCCTTCCATGGTGGTTTGCATAACCATCATCTTGTCCAACTTCGTGAACCTTTTCCACTACTCTCTTGTTCTCTACTACTGGACTTGCCATCACGGTAACTGCGGCTGCATCGTCTTTGACTTGGATGTGCTCATTAATGTGTTGCACGAGTAACTCCATAGTCGACAGTTGATTCATTATGAGCGAGTCTCTTAGTCGATGTCCAACTAGAAGACTACGCTTATACTGAGTGATTGCAAGGTTGATCGGGCAATCTAGGATTTCGTTGAAGGTTTCCCAGTACCTAGAGTTGTATGCCTTGAGGGTGTCACTCGACTCCATCTTGACACTTAGAAGGTGGTCCACTTCCTTTGGCGTTTTGGTGTTGGTTTTGAAACGAGTCACGAATGCTTCCGCCAACTGCTGCCACCTCTCAATGCTCTCTTCCGGGAGTCTCTCAAACCATTTCAAGCCCAGTTCACCAAAGCTGGATGGGAAAATAAGGCACATAAGAGCATCATTATGCCTGTGTCCGGCCATGACCTGCCGGAAATGACTTACATGCATGTACGGATCGCTCTTGCCATCATAAAGTGTAACCTTGGGCTGGTGAAAGCCCGCTGGGAGCGACGTGGCTTCTATCTCAAGGGAGAAGGGGGTGGCGTTCAGCCTTGCCAAATATGTGTCTAGAAGGAAAGGCACGACTGGGCGGGGTGGTGGCATTATGACCTCTTCACTGGCGTGACCTCCGTAAGATAGCCGCTGGAGCGCCAGCACCCTTTGAGTCTCTCGCCGGCGAGCCCGCTCCTTCAAGACTACCCGCAAGTCCTCTGAGCGAGCGGAGTAGGAATATCTCGACGTCGTCGCCGGACGTGAGGGTTGATAGGTACTATCTTGCGCGCTAGACTTCTCTACAAGCGCGTCGGAATCTCCAACCCTATAACTTCTGGTGATAGAAAGAAAAGGAGTATGTCGTTGGCTCTGATTGCCTGAACGGCGTGGTTGGGTGCCCTCACTGTGGTCTCCCACTCTAGTAACACCCTTCCCTTTGACATGTCGCTTGAGAGCTTCCATCTCCGCCGCTATTCTCCGGATGATGGCGTCTTGGTCCCTTAACTTGTGCTTCAGACGTCTAGCGTGCGATTCTCTTCGCTGCTGGTGTCCGTCTGGGCTCTGCGAGTGACCAAAACTTCTAGCACGCTTATCACGCGCGTCTCTTGAATGTCCTCCTGGGGAAGTCTCCAAGTCCGCCATGTTTGGAACAGCGAGGAGTCCGTCTCTCCGTCTGGCTAATTCTGGGATAACACCATCAATGGCAGACAATGGTATTTCGTCGTTGTTTGCTATGGAAGGCGACCAGATGAGCTTGGAAGACAAGGTTTTGTCTATCAAGTTTCCTACAGACGGCGCCAATTGTACGGGGAGCAAATATTCTGCGAAGCCCGTACTCCTTTCGTCTAAGCTCCTTGTCTATCCGATCGACCTGCGTGTACAACGGCGGTGAGCTACTCGGCGGTGTGTGGCCGGAAAACCCCTCTGACGGTCAAGTTAGCACACACCCTCAGGGAGAGAGAGAGGAAGAGAGAGATATATCACAATGAGTGTTTCTCACCAAATGATTATACGAGGAACAAATATTCCGCGGAGCCCGTACTCCTTTCGTTCAAGCTCCTTGTCTATCTGATCGACCTGCGTGCACAACGGCGGTGTGTGGCCGGAAAACCCCTCCGACGTTTAAGTTAGCATACACCCTCAGGGAGAGAGAGAGAGGAAGAGAGAGCTATATCACAATGAGTGTTTCTCACCAAATGATGTTCTATCTACAGCATGGGCGGCGCAGTCATGCTTGTATACTTTCTGCGTTCACCTCTGCACCTATTCATCTATTGACACGTGGAGCTGCTCTCCCTTCTGTCAACGCAAATCCAGCTAAACACCACCTAATCAAACCGCTAGACAACGTTAGCGGGAACGGACAGCCCGGCAGCACCATCTCGGCCTCCTTCGACCGTACTGCCTAACGAGGCCAACAATGCTCATCGCCGAGCACCATCACTACCGAGCTCAACAGCACTCCGATGCGACTGTGCTCCAGCCAAGTTAGGCCGGTCTGCGGCAGATCACGATCACCGAGCTAAAACGAGCGAATAAGAGAAGACAAGCTGGCAGAGGATCATCTCGGCCAACTCTGGTCTGGACTTCGGTCGAACAAGCTTCCTCTCGACACAGCTTAGCCTAGCTCGGCCCAAATACGCTTGAACCACTTTCAACCCGGCCAGAACCGCGACCCAAGCCGAGATTACGGAAATCTCCCTCTCAGGTCCTAATAGTTGAACTTAATTCTCATCAAATCCTATCGAAAATAAATCCTAGTAAAATTATCATTAAAAATAATTTTTTATGATGATTTTTTACATATGTCGCTAACAATTAACAATTAATAATTTTTTTCATGATTTTTATAAATTGTCGTTAAAACTTACAATTAGTGACATTTTTCTACGACAAATTTTTCAAACTATCGTTGAAAGTTGATAATTAGCTACTTTTCTGTGATGATTTTTGTAACACCCGCCTCCTTGATTACCAATTACATTGGAAGTTACTTTAATTATGTGCCTTTATGTGATTTATATGCTAATATGTATGAAAATCATGTGCCATAAATTGTTTGATGCATGTTTTGAGTAACAGATATGATAGTGCGTGAAAAGACCTGTCTGATTCGTTAAGTTAGAAGGTTAAAATTAAATGTTGGACTAGGTGGTTAGAGCCTAATTCACCTTAGCAAGTTTAAGTTGGGTTAAATTAATTAGGCCATATTGAGGCTTGAGTTGATTAAGTGAATTGGATTGAATTTAGGTTAAGCTTAAAATTTGATTAAAGAAAATTGGGACTAGCTTATTAACTTATTAACTCAAGCCAATAAAAGAGGAGTATGGAGAGAGAGAGAGAGAGAGAGAGAGAGAGTGAGTTAGTGTTTGCTGTAAAAACAACTTGGGAGAGAGCCCTAGAAGTAGAAGAAAGATAGAGAAATAAGAGGAGCAAGAGAGCTTAAGCCAAATCTTTACCAATTCACCCATCTAAGGTAAGAAACTTTCCTCTAATTTCAAGAATTGAAGTTGTCTACTCATGGAATCATAGAAATTAAGATGAATTGAGAAGTTGGGTAGTGTAAAGTGATGATAGGAATCCTGAAGTGAAGAAGTGAAAGTAATAAGCTCTTATCCTTGTAATACACAGCCGCATTCATGCTTCCTCACCTGGATCTTGCATGAATTTTGGGATTTGAAGAGAAAATTCAAGGGTTTTAACTTTAACACTCAAACTTTGCATACATTGAGATTGTACAATTAAAGTTCATAATTTGTGGTCTTATTTGAGAATTGAGCCTTGCGTTATTGTTTGAAGTTGGAAATATCAATTCATTTGGTTTTGCAGTGTTTTTGAGCCCTTTTTTTTATGTAAAATGAAATTAGGTTTGAAAAAGGGAAAAACTCCATTTTCAGCAAAATTTCGAACTGGTTTTTCACCTAGACCGCTCGAGCGGCCTGGGCCATCACACAAGTGGCCAACCTTGTTTTGGCCAAAGTTGATTCTGAAGTTCACCAGCTCGTGCGGCCAAGGCCACCGCACATGCGGCCAAGAGGGCCAGCCCAATTTGATTTTCCTTCTGTTTATACTGATTTTCGAGCCTCCAATTGCATGATTTTCAACTGTTTCCATGTGCATGTGTATTGTATGAGCACAAGAGGAAATAAAATAATGAATGAGATCGGGTTAGATAATGAATAACGGATAAGTTAGTGACTAATTAAATGGAAGGAGTGTATATTGAACCACCCTGAAAGAATGAAGGCTCGCCACCTCTAAGTTTTCCTTCTTTTACAAACTTTAAGTGGGTGTCACTTTATATCTATAAAATATAAGATCAAAATATAAAACTAAAAAAAAAAAAATAGGCGAAATATAATAAAAGAAATTAATTTCTTATAACTAGAGTTAATTCCAAGTCTTAGTCTATTAAAAATAGAATAAGGTATTAGCTAGTTACTTAATCACGTTTATTGAGAAAATATTGTACCAAATTTTAATGTCAATTTTATCATAGACATTTTTAATAACATGAGAGAGGGTCAATTACAACAACACAAGATGTCTCACTTTAATGTAGAGATTATTTTTTATTTCTATCTTTTGTAACTAAATTTGGATTAAAAAAAAATGCTATTTATATATATTTTCATCTTATCTTCACTTTTTATATTAGTAGCAATTGCTATTATAATTTCATATTTGTTTTAAAAAATTGTTAAAATATATATGTTCACCCCCCTTATATGGGTTTGTCCCCAGTTTAAATTATCAAAATAGAATCCGAAGTGAAGCTCAAGAGCATCACAACAGACATTGTTGTGTCCACTACACAACAATTACTCTGAACCCTACATCCTTGAGGTTCAAAAAAAATATAATTAGTCTCACATTTTTGACATAATTATACTAATCTCCCTTTTAATATGGTTAAAGTGATCAAAACTGGTGAATAAATACTAAAATAAACAAAGATAAATATATATTTTAGTTAAAAAAAAACATGATAACATCATTTTTCATTTATATAATTAACAAATTACTTATAAAAAATGGCCTAAATGTTATGTCCTTTAAGGGAGGTCGGTGTAATTATGTTAAAAGTGTTTTCTTCAAACTTCAAGAGATGTGAGTGCAATTTACCCAAAAAAATTAATCTGCTCTAAAAATTATAAAAGACATTATTAAATATAACATGAATATGAAATAGTTTTCAAAATTTTAATTCTATTAATTAGATTAAAAAAATATTTGCATAGTGAAATTTCATTGTCCAAATATAATCGCCACTAACATCACCCTCACTAACCACCACAATCATCACAACACTTGTAATTTTTCATATCAAATTTCTTATGATTTTAAATATAAAAAATAAATAACTAAGACCCAAGATTGATATAAAAAAATTAATAAAACTTGTTCCAAAACACATGAAATTTATTGCAAATGTTCCTTAATAGATGTCTTAACATGTATATGAAACAATTGTCAAAATTCTATTCTATCTATTAGACTACGGAATGAAACTTTGAAAAACTCTTTTACAATTGTGAAATATGAGAGAGTTAGGCACTCTCTTTTTGTTAATTATATGGATTACCAGACTATATGACTTTGCGTGGTGTCCGGTAATAATAGCAAGGGACGAGGAACACATCAATAAAGATGAGGGTGATGGACAAATATCGTATTGGAGATTTGCATCTTCTTCACACCTCTCTCTTTCTAAATCAATACAAATTGATAGAGACCAATATAGTGAAAGATAATTCAAGTTTCGATTTTTTCGCTTCTGTTGTATGAAATTTTTATTCTGAAAGAGTATATACACTAAAAATTATTTGTACTTTTATCACTAAAAATCTGTGTTGAGAAAGTTTTTGCCAAATTTCTATTCTTAAAATTGAGCATTAGAGTTCAAGAAGTCTATTGCCTAATTAGTTGTGCTAAGAAATTATTCACAGCTTGGTCCAATTGCAGAATTACTTTTAATTGATTTGAATGTTCGATTATTAAACATTTTCTTATTGTCAGTGGATTGGCTACAAGCCACAGACAAAATGAAAGGTTTTATTATTAAAATCCGAGTGTTGAAAGAAGTGAGCAAAGCAGGTGAACCTACTCATCAAGACATAAAAATGGTTCGGTTAGCAATGCAACTTCGGTAGAAAATGTTTCTAATCCACTTTGTTTCCACATTATATATATATATATGCTCAGTGCAAACTAAATTTCAATCCCAGGTGTGCATAGGTTGATGCAGATCGATTTTGAAACATTTTTTTTTGATAGAACTGATAACAGGTTAGGCGGTGTTTTGCACAGTGCTACCCACAATGGTTGAGATAAAGGAACTCCCGGAGCAGTGTAGTAATAATAGAAAGAAAATCAGACAAGCAATCTCTGTTCCATTTCTTTGGGAAGAAAAGCCGGGAACTCCTAAAAAAGATTGGAAACCACCGATCGCTCAAACGGTTAATCCACCAGTTGCACCACCTCCAGTGAAGCTTGTTGCCTCAGTTCCTTTCAAATGGGAGGAAAAGCCTGGAAAACCACTTCCCTGCTTTTTCCGGCAACCATCAGATTCGGAAGTAGAAATTCAGCTCTCCCCTGAAAACCTCATTGCTTTAGCATTGCCTCCTCCAGCAACTGCCACAGGTATGTTGGAGCCGGGAGGGGCACAGGCCCCTCAACTTTTTTACAAAAAATAAATTGTACTTGTAATCTCTGTAGTTTGTTTCTTGTATCAATCGAATCTTTATAGTTATAATTGCATTAGTTTTATCTTATAATTTTTTTTATTGTGTTCATTTAGTTCAACTATAACGCTCTTTTACAAATTGGACTAAAATCAATTGGCAAAATAATTCATTTACTCTCCTCAAACTAATTGAGGGTTTCCATTTTAACCCTTAATTCATTTAGATATTATCAATTAGACTAAATTGACACATTATATATATATATATATATAATAAACAACAAAATAAGCGAGTTTTAAAGTTTGTGTTCTTTTTAAGTATTTTTATTGTTTATAAGAAGAAAAAAAATTGACTTTGTGATTAATAATTGTCCCTGTACTAATTTTCTAACTCGGTCACTGACTCATCAGTGTACTGTCAAGACGGAGGTGGTGGTGATGACGATAGGCATATTGATTGTGGCGATGACAATGGAAGTGAGGCTGAGCAATTTAAGTTTTTCGAATCAGATATTGAAGCATGGGGTTTTGAAACTGATGAATCCTTTGGCTCAGCTCCTACTCTGACTCTAGCTGTTTCCAATGTCATTCCTATGCTGCAAACACCTTCTTCACCAGCTTCTGAAACAGATAGCAGCAGCAGCACAAGTAGCTATGCCACTGGAACAACAAGCTTAGTTGGTGCAGCTTTCTTGGAGTGCATGTTTCCACTGTTATCGCCCGATTCAAGTTTTCTTGGAAAGCTTGGCTGCTCTGAAAAATTCAATTCTTATGTTACTACTCCAGTGAAAGTGCAGAGTAAAGATTTGGAATGGGAAAGCAGTTGCAGTGTTGCGATAAGAAGGCCAGCGACGCTGGGGGAGCTGATAATGATGAGTAGAAGGAGAAGTTACCGGAGGAAAGCTGTTCAAATGCGGAGACACAACCTCTCCATGGTAATTCTTCTGCTACTCCTCCTCCTCTCACATGTTTTGACTCAGAAAAATGTTAAATATACAAAATTTTATATCAAAAATATAAATAAATTTATATAAATACAAAATTCCTGCAATCATAAATGGTTTCTGTACTAATAAACCTAGAGTGCATAATGAATAAATGGTTTCTGTAACCAATAAAACTAGAGGGCACATTGAATCAGAAGTTAGATATCTTGAAAAGTGTGGGGGGAAAATGTCTATTTCATTCATTTTGTGTTTGAGAAATATTATGCACTCGGGCAAAAAAAATTCAAAATATTTAGAATTTGAATGTATTGGACAGTGTTTAAAATTTGAACGGATGATATTGATTTAAACTTGGTGTGGCGTGCGTCATACTTGAAATAAATCTAATCCACACATTTCAATTTTTGAACACTTTTCTGAGAATATATTTTTTAGATACGTAATGCCATTGTTAAATTTTACATCGTAATAATCATGTGCAAATTAATTGGGCTAGTCGGATTAGTAGAACCCTTGTAATTTACTTAAAAGCCTCTGATGTAACAAAACTAAAATAAAATCATATGCAAACACCTTACTATTTTACAATTGAAATTCATGGGTGCTACTAGCCTTTGCCTGATTGTAAAAATGACAGGAATATATGAGGAAGACAACAGTTGGATGCGGCTTATTTGGAATTAACAACTGGATTGAAGTATTGCAGAGGAAGTGGAAGAGCCAGATACAACTTAAACTCATGTAGATCACATCAAACACAAATCTGATTCACATATTTCAAATTCTGAATACTTTTTAAATATATTTTATTTTTGGGTGCAAAGTTTGCTTTGTAAATCATTACGACTTTTTTCTGTCGTTGTGTGTGGATAGACTTGTTTTTTGGGTGGGTATGTGGATAGACTTGTTACTACTCTCTTTGGTTTAACATTTTCAAAAACAGTTTTTTGAATTTTTATTTATTTTATTTATAGTTATTTTTAAATTTTTTTTAGTTTTTAAATTCGCGTAATATAAATACACTTAAAAAGTATGAAATTTGTGTAATTTTTTTTCAAAAATTCATTGAATACAAAAAAAAAATAATACAAAAATCCATCACATTTTCGTATTTTGTTGTATTCGATAATTTTTTTACAATTTACTATAATAATTTTATAATTTTTAAGTGTATCTAGATTAAGTGGATTAAAAAGTAAACAAAAAAAAATTAAAATGTTAAAAAAATTTACTAAAAACAAAAGGAAAAAAGAAAAAGGAAAATACGGATTAAAAACTGATAAAACTATTTTTAAAAATTCTAAACAAAACAGAGTAGTGTAACTAGTATTTTATTAGTTCCATAATGCAGGTAGATCTCAAAATCTGCATAGCTCCAACATAGTTGTACTGGAACATTTACTTCAATACCAACACTCAAATGATTTATTATAGAGTAATGCCATCAATAAGCAGGCATATTAATTAGCTTAAACTCTAGAAGTACGGTGCTGCTACATGCATCAATTGATATACTAACTAGTGTACCAACATGCCTTTTGGTATTATTACTGACCCCACTCTTTAAATGAATTACAAATACTCAAAACCTTTAAAATTATGTCACATCATCTATTAATACACTAATTGGTATAATAATTGGTACATATAGCATTATTCCTAGAAGTATAAGGCATTTCAAGTGGTACGTTTACATGTTTTAGAAGTTGACTCACGAGTTAACATTGAGTTATTCTTAATAACTTATCAGTTATCGCTATTGTTGTCTTTGATCTTCCTATGGCGATCTTTGAACACCACATAAAGTTGCAGTCTTCATAATCCATGCAATAGATGAAGAGTGTGTCATACCCTTGGTTTGAACACCACAACTGGTTTGACAGGACAATCATACAGGCAAGATCAATTGGAAGGCGGTGATCAATGCAGTACTAAACATACCCTTGGTCCTGTGTGATATTGGAACTGTGGGTGCTAACATAAATATTGGCACACACAACGATGTTGAGAAGTTGAAAACGAGAAAGGAGTTCATTTTGTTTGATTAGAGCCCTGGAGACCCAATTTCATGGTGTCCCATAGTTTAGTGACAACCAAGTTAAAATCAACACTGCCAGAAGCAAGAAATGGATAGTGACGTTTAGTAACAGGGGAATGCCAAGGAAAGACCGAACAAACTCCTTACGCTGTGTTTGGTTGGAGGATTTGAAGAGGGATTTGAAAAAGGAAAAGGAAAAGTTAGGTAAAATGTAAATAAAACATACTTACATTTCACCTAGTTTCACACACCTTTTCCCTTTCCCTTTCCAATTCCCTCCCCAAATCTCCCAACCAAACACACCATTAGTGATTTTGATTTCTTTTGACCGGACCCTAGTTTTGAAAGAAGGGCCGTATTCATCTATGGAGTGAATGTTACAGTACAATTCACGAACCCAAGACGAATAGGAATAAACTCAAACGTGTTTGGTTGGACATTTCTCTCAAGGTGGACAGTTCTAGAGTCATGGAAATCCCTAAAAATTATTGCTTTCTCTTTCGATTGGAATTTGATAGTGTTATAAGAGGGACGGAAAGCAGTAGCCCTTCTTTGTTTGAAAAATTCAGCCATGACTAAAACACTAAAGAATACGGAGAATCCACAAACAAAGAAACCACAAACCCAATAACAACCCGACACACAGAGCCCACCAAGAGACAACCCAACAGCCCCAAACAGTAATCATCAATTAACAACCACAATTAGTAACCAAGAGAAAATAATCAACAAAAAAATCAGAATGCAACATTATGAGAGAGAAGACACCAAATAAACTAAGTTATCAACTACCAAGAAGGATTAAAAACACAAATAATCTAAAAAATAAAAATACAAGATAAACCCTAGATTGATGCTACTAATTATGGAATGCGTAAAATATAGAGCAAACTAGCAACCAATAAGCAAAAAATGACACCAAAAAACAAGGAAAAAGAACAAACTCAGATAAAAAAAAAAATAATCTAGACACAAAACAAAACACAAAATAAAGTGAAAAAGAGGGAAAAACTTACCAAATCGGGATGATACTCATTGGGAGGGGACCAAAATCGAGTGAGATCGAGGGAAGAGAGGTCAGAATCACTAAAGAGGGAGTAATCACCCAAGAAGAAGAGAGCACAAAGTGGTTTAGGGGAAAATTGAAACTGAAATGATGGTTGAAACAATTTAAACCCACACAGACCGCTCGAGCGATTAAGTGGTCGCTCGAGCGAACTCACTAAAGTGTGTGCCCATCACTCAAGCCAAGACTCCATCGCTCGATCGAATAAAAGACTCTCTCACAAGTTCAAATGCACTGCAAAAGTACTAGATGAAGTCATTCACAACTCGAGCGCAAAAAGCACCGCTCGAGCAGTTTAAACAATCAAGGAAAGCTTTCAAAGGCCTTAAACACACACCCCTAAGCATCCAAAAACACTCATAAACAAAGTATCACCTGAAATACAGATGTGTTAGTAATGCAACAATAATGTGATACTAAGATGAGATAATCCACACATCATGAAACCTTCAAACTTGCAAGATAGACGATTATGAACATGAGATCATCAACAAGCAAGGTAAAAATGGATAAACTGATAGAGACATCACATGAATGCAAGGCTCAAATAATAACATGATAGCTCACAAAGATAGTGTGTATGTGTGCAGTCTTTGAATGTCCACAACCGCTAGAGTTAATCTTAGTAGTGATCGGATGGCTGGACCTCCGACACGAGAATCTGTATGAACCTGAGAAAGTCAAACCACTAGGAATCAAGGGGTATTTGTTGAGTCAAGGCTGAGACTCTCCCTCAGTCAATAAATAATTTTATTTTTTTCTTTCTATCTTTTGCGCACTCACTGGTAGCTTTCACGCTTAAGAGTATGGAAACCTAACCAGAGACGTATGGAAAAAATAAGGATAGCATGTTTGGTAACTTTAAGGTAGCCTTTTCCTCATGCCTTGATTATAATGACCCGAGAGAAAAGCCGTGGAGATGCAAAAAGATGGCAGGAGGTTAAAAGTCTTAATATCACCCAAGATATGCTAGTATAGGTCAATTCCTCTAAAAATGCACATGACATAATGCTAGAAGTCCATACAGAAATTTGATGACTTATGCGGAAACCCCTGCAATTTTTAACTCAAAGATGTGTACAGAATGAGATCATGAGATCAATGAGCATGTGCATTCAAAATGGGCTATAAGAAAACACATATGAAACCTTGCATGCAGCAAGACAGATGTTCAAATAAATCTATGTGCAAAAAAGACAAGTATCAATGACAATGAGATTATAACATCCAAGCACACAGAAGGCCAATTAATCACCATCCACTCATGTAACAAGTCACACTCTAGTCAATGAGCACTACACCCAAGGTCTTTCTAAGGAATTCAAACCTAAGAAGGTCAAGGGGTTTGTAAAAATGTCTGCTCTTTGATGCCCTATGGAAACTTGTTCAAGAACAACAAAGCCCTATAGGTCAATTCCTCTAAAATTGCACATGACATAATGCTAGAAGTCCATACAGAAATTTGATGACTTATGCGGAAACCCCTGCAATTTTTAACTCAAAGATGTGTACAGAATGAGATCATGAGATCAATGAGCATGTGCATTCAAAATGGGCTATAAGAAAACACATATGAAACCTTGCATGCAGCAAGACAGATGTTCAAATAAATCTATGTGCAAAAAAGACAAGTATCAATGACAATGAGATTATAACATCCAAGCACACAGAAGGCCAATTAATCACCATCCACTCATGTAACAAGTCACACTCTAGTCAATGAGCACTACACCCAAGGTCTTTCTAAGGAATTCAAACCTAAGAAGGTCAAGGGGTTTGTAAAAATGTCTGCTCTTTGATGCCCTATGGAAACTTGTTCAAGAACAACAAAGCCCTCCTCAACTAACTCTCAAATGAATGATGATGAATGTCAATATGTTTAGTGCAAGAGTGTTGAACTGGATTCCGAGAGATATTGATGGCACTAGTATTGTCACAGAAAAGAGTAAGTGTGTGCTGGTCTATACCATAGTCATGATGCATTTGCTTCATCCAAATCATTTGAGCACAATAACTCCCTAATGTACTCTGCCTTGGCGGTCGAAAGAGAGATGGCATTTTGCTTTTTGACCAAGTTATTTCTGAGGAAAAAACAATCTCCGGATGTGCTTTTGTCATTATCATCACACCCTGCCCAATCGGCATCAGAATAACCAATAATGTCGGTCATGGTGTTCGAAAGAGAATCAAATCCCAAACCCCAAAATCCCACTCACATACTTGATAATACGCTTAACGGCTAATAGGTGAGACTCTTTAGGGTAAGCTTGATAACGGACACATACACCAATACTAAAGGCAATATTGGGCCAACTGACAGTGAGATACAAAAGACTCCATATCATACTCCTATAGAGGGTAGGATTGGCATCAGTACTAGAAGGGTCTTTAGACAAATGAAGGCTCGTGCTCATAGGGATCTATGTGTGTTTTGGCAGACTCTAGACCAAACTTAGACATAAGGTTCTTAGCATACTTGGTCTGAGACATAAACATACCCGACGACAATTGCTTAATTTGTAGCCCCAAAAAGAATGACAATTCTCTCATCATGCTCGCTTCAAACTTATGTGTCATGCAATCCGAGAAGTATTTAACAGGAGATTTAGATGTGGATCCAAACACAATATCATCAATATAAATCTGAACAACAAGGATATGCGACTTAATATGTTTCATAAATAAGATCTTATCCACACTACCCCTTTGAAAGTCATTGTCAAGAGAAAGGTAGTTAGCCTATCATACCGCCCAAGGAGCTTGTTTCATCTCATAAAGTGCCTTGTCTAACTTGCAGACATGATTTGGAAACTTAGGGTCCTCGAAACC